AGTTGCTGTATGTGGGACGCGGCCTCAGCATGGCCGGAGAAGCAGTGCGTAGGTGCACGCCCGGGATCCAAACCCGGGCCACCAGTAGCGGAGCGCACGCACTTAACCGCTAAGCCACGGGGCCGGCCCTGGAGTCATCCTTTAACAATCTAAATCAGGTCTCCTGTTTAAAACCCCACATGGCTGTCCATCTCTCTCAGTCTGAAGGAGAACTCCTTAAACAGGCTTGCAAAACCCAACATGGGTGGTTCCCAATTCTGGTGCACATTAGAATCATCTGGAGATTCTGGTTCAGATTTCAACGCCCACACGTGGAATCTGGTCAAGCTCCCCAGGTGTGCAGTGTTAGCTGGGTGGAGGGCCACTGCTGCCCTGCTCTCGCCCCGGCTACCTGCCTGGCTTCACCTCATGCTCTTGTGCCACCCTCCCTTCCTCACACTGCATACACCATGGCCCTGGTTCCTCCTGCCCGAGGAGGAGCTCATTGTTTCCTCTACCCAACGCTCTTCACCCAGATCCTCCCCTGGCTCTTGTGGTCCTTCGGGTTGTCGTTTAAATACCTCCTCCCCGAGCGGCCTTCCTGACCCTCCAGGCCCCCCTTTACCACAATGCCAGGTGTCCTCCTGTTCAGAGCACTCGCCTGACACTTTGTAGCTCGTTTGTTAATTATCTGACTCCTCCCTCAACAAATGAGCTTCATGGTGGCAGGATCTTATCTGTTTTTTGCTTCTGGGCATCCTTGGCAACAAAGCAGTTGCTCATTAAATGTAGGAGGAAGGCGTGTAAGAGAAAGGAATTTTGAATCGGTCTCACAGGAAATGGACCAGCACTTGTCAGGGCTCCCAAAATGCGGATTCTGCCACCATGGTTGGTGGCCGCCTTCTGAGGTTAAGAGCACATGTGGACGGAGCTGGGCTGATTCAGGCTGAAACCCAGCTCTGCCGCTCATTCATTCACTGTGTGAATCTGAGCAGGAAACGCGTGGCCGTTTCAACTTTGATTTCCCCAACCCAAAAATACAGAAAATCATGAGTGTGTCCCAGGCTTGGTATGAAGATCAGGTGAGGTCATGTAAGGAGGCATCCATAAACACTAGCGGCATTCCTACAGATAATAATGCAGGCATGCCACACTGCTCCCCCCACCCCCCAACACCCGCTTCCCTGCCACTTCCTCTCCCAGATAGCTGCTGAATGCAGTGCCTTCTTCTAACTCTGGTGAGGCTAGGAGCCCTTAGCAACACACTTGCTTTATTTCAAACAACTTCCTCCAGGGAGGTAGAACGTCCCTCTCTTCCTTTCTCTTTCTTCCTGTCCAGAAAGGCCCCCTATTCACCAGATGGGCTTGCTGCTCTTAAAAAAATGCAAAGTCAACAGCAACCAGCATACACACTCTTCCCCAAGCTGTGGGTGGCGCCCGCCAGCTGGAGAGGGCCCTCTTGGATACAGACCTGCCTGTTTTGCACCTAACATGGGCTGCTGGGCCCAGAATTGAAACTTCTGCTGAGACCCAGCAGGCTGAGAAGAGTTCAGAAAACAAAACAGTGGAGGTGCCAAATACCTCGAGTTTGCTTTTGTTTCTTCTTGGAAATAAAACCAAAGCTTCATTGTGGTATCAGGTGCTCTAAAGAAACAAACTCAAAAAGAAAAAACAAAAACAAAAACTAATTTCTGAGATAGACCACATACAACTGAACTGAGATTATAAGAATGTTACAAATGAGATTTTTATTCCCTTGGGACACCGTCCATCTGTCCACATTAGCCTCATCCTGATTCTGAGTAGCTCCTGAGGAATGTTAAGCCAGACTTGAGCCAAGACCCCAACTGCCTTAAGGTGACACCCCATTTCTCTGGGAATGCCGTTGGGATTTTCCTGAGGCCCCAGGCTCTGGCCTGGCCCTGTGTGGAGTGAAAGCCGAGGGTGGGCCCTGGGAGGCGTCTCAGCAGATCACAGGCTTCATGGTGATGCTGACTGCTCCTCGCTCTCATGGCCCTACGCCTTTCCAAACACTGGGAACATTTTCCCTTAACCGGGAAAATTCTTCTGATTTCTTTCTCCTTTCTCTCCTTTGAATCTCATCTTTGAAGTTCAGTAAAGGTGCCATTTTTTCTTTAATGTTTAAATAACTAGACAGAACGCAAGCTGAGCTGCTGTGTGGTTTCCATATCGTAAACCAGTAGCTGTGTTTGTTACACTTCTCCAGAGGGGAAGCAATTTCTTAGTATCCCTGTCTCTACCCCACCTTCTTGTCTATTTCTGGAAAATTCTGCCTATTCTCAAGCCTGAGAGGTCTTCAGTGGCACCACTGGAGTGTTGAGCAATGAGGACAGGCCCAGGGGGGGAAGATTAATAGAAACATGCCAGGGTCTTTGCTGGGGATCCCCGGGGGCCCACTTCAACTCTGTGATGCGTAGCAAGGATGCCAAGTTGCCTGTCTGCGTATGCTGAATGAAGGCGGTGAGCTGGTTACTGTCCAGGTGTTCCAGAAGGTGTGGCAGCTGCTCAGATACACCCCCATGCAGCAAGCACCCCAGGAGCATTTTCGTGTGCCAGACTCTTGGCTAATCTATAAGGCCCAGAGCCTCATGGGAATTTCAGTTATTGTCAAAGTGTATACACCATTTTTTAAAAACACATACCATTTTTAAATGTGCTATCTGTAAACATCATTGTGATTAGTAACATGTACTTACATCGGAAAACATTCCAGACTCATAGTGATTTTTAGCCACTGTGCACTTTCTCAGTCACAGGACACTAGACAGACTTTACTGCTATGTTGTGGTCCATTACATTTTCTGACATTAGAAAGGAGTGATCCTTCCATTAGGATAGATGAAGAGGCTGAGCACCCCTGATGGAGGGCCTGGATGTGAGTGAGAGCTCCTGCTCTCAATGCTATAGGGAGAGCTGGGAGATTTCCTCATCCTTAGAGGCACCAAAAACCTGGTGTGGGGTTTTGTGGATGGGATAACTTTTGTGGATGGGCCACGTACCAAGGGCGACACTGAAGCACATTTTAGTGCCACCTGGCGCTGCCCCCAGCAAACCATGACTCTATTGCTAAATGGAGCCTGCGAAGGAGTCACTGTCCATAAAGTATATCAGATGCTAACCTGGTACTTCATGCTCATATTTAACTATTTTCAAGACCAACCTGTTGGTTGTCGATTTCAGTACAACATTTATGGTGTACGAGTGTCTGCTGAGTCCTGCCGTATTTGTAACAGGCTGGGGCTTAGATTAAAGATCAATGACAGAGTGTGAACTAAGTGTCCACTCTAATGTTTCTCTAGAAATGTGCGATATCCATACCTTAATCCTCTTTCCATTTTTTCCAGATAACTTGTTCAAACCCAAAGAAAGGTACATTTCAGAGAAGGAGATGCACATGCGATCTAAAAGGTATGTGGTTATCGTGTGAGGTCGGAGAAAGCAGGGGAGGAGGGAGGAGGGTGGCTTGATGGATCCAGGCGCTGTACAACAGGGCCACTATTTCTGGGGCCATGTTTAAGGTCTGAGGTCTTCTTGGCCATGAATTTGAAAAGCTGGCTAAAAGAAGCACAGCTGTTGAATTGTGCCTCTGAATGTTAAGGCCGTTCTTGGAAAAACCTCAGGAAAGTGGTGGGTTTGGATTCTGAACCAATCCAGTAACTGGTCTCTAAGAGATCCCCGGACTCATAATGGGGACACTTCTGCACATTCTCATCATCGCTCTGAGCAGGTGCTGTCTGTCGCTGTGCTCCTTTAAAGGTAATTTGATGAGAAGGAGAGAAGCTGTTTCTCCTGAGGGCCTCTACAGTGGCAGGGCCTGCAGGAAGGGATCCAAACCTGAAAGCCGATGGCGCGTGGGAGCCAGCGAGGCCGCAGAGGGCCACGAGCCGGCCTTCCTGGCGCTCCATCCCCAGTGTGCTTGGCGGCCCTGCTGCCGGCAGACTCTCCCTGTTCTCCTTGGCTGGTTGCTATTCTAGACGCCCACTAGTTCTCACCAACCTGATGCACACAAAGGCTGCCATTCTTTCTGAGACCTGGCCTCCTAACCAAAATGTAATAGCTCAGTAGTGTTGGCCAAGTTTATGCAAGTAAAATGTCATTATTTTATAATAAAGTATCCAACACTGGGAAGAATTATAATTAAACCAAATTGATAGTGCACTTAGAGAAACCATTAAAATAGGAAGAATACATTTCTCCCCCCTCCAGGCACACTCTCTGCTTTTACCATGAGAGGTTATGTTACGTTGTGTCCGTGATAATTAGCCAGCTTTGATCACCTGTGGGGAACCTCTGTAAATAAAAAAGGGAAAGTGAGGAGAAGGGGGACCATCCCATTAACGACCTGATTCACGGCATTCTAACTGGGACTTTTAAAGGGCCGCTGGGTTAGAAGGCTTGCTGTTTCAGAAGTGCAAAGTTGCCTATACTTCATGCCAAGAGCATTCCTTTTTCAATTTTGTGAAAAAATTCAGCCGTCTTTCCCTCCCAGTCCCCAAACCCAACACTGCTATTACGGAACTGTGCAATTAAAGTAATAGATCTCAAAGCAGCATTACAGAGAGTATTACCCTGTTATTTAACAAAAGGGGAAACTGAGGGTGGACAGGACTAATGAGCTGGGCGGTGCTGCCTCCCAAGTTGTTGGCTCCCCCAGCCGGAAGCCAGGTCTCCTCTGATGGGGTCAGTATTGGGTTTTCACTCTGCTCTGTGGGCTATGCCCTGGGGGGGGGCTCCGACCCGGGCTCTCAGACCTCACTCACCCACCATCACCTCAGAGCTTTCTTTTCTTTCATGTTCTTTGTTATTAATTATACTGTTAAATTACATTTTCATTTAAAAAATTCCAACAAGGAAGATAAAGCTTAAGTCCCTTACAACCAACTATCCCCCTTCCCACCCCACTGCCCAGCCCCGGTCCTATCTCCAGGGACACCCACAGCTGTGTGTCCTGTGTGTCCTTCCAGGCCTTTCTCTCTGCCTGAAAATAGACTCTTATTTGTACATACACAATTATCTCATTTTTAACCATAAATGGGATCATGCTATACATTATCTTTTTGTAGCTTTTTTTTTTTCACTTTAATATGTCTGTGAGGTCTTTCTGTGTCAGAAGAGAGATATAGATGATTTTCCTCATTGGTTTTACTATCTGGAGAGTAAGAGTGGTCCATTGTATGGATGCCATAGTTTATTTAGGAAGCTTTTTAAAGAAAATGTTGCATCAGAAGCTCTGGGGATGAGACCTAGGAATTTTTATCTTAAACTCCCCGTGTGATTTGCGTGGTCAGCATGAGGAAGATGGGTCTCTATGGATCTGAAGGGATTTCCCTGGGGAGCTTTGGGATAGTCAGCTTTCTTACTGGTTCCTTACAGTCTTCCCCCCGGTCCTCTCTAGAATAGCTCCTGGATGTGGCAACCGTGTGTTCATTTATTCATTCAAACCATAGCGATGCCCACAGTGCACCAGGCACTGTGCTGGGCACAAACATTCCCAGGTCACTTCAGCTACGTGGTTGGGGGACAATGTTGCATAAAGTCAAACAGACCAAGTTTCAAATCCCAGTCCCCCATTAGCCTGCTGAGGGACTTGACGCAAGGCTCCCGACCTCGCTGGGGCCTCCCGTGCCAGCAGGACACTAGATGCCCCTTCCAACCACTGTGACGATTAAATGAGAAAATTCATGTCAGGTGACGAACCTAGTGTCCAGTAACCAAGATAATGTCACCTGCTAATTTTGTCATCATCAATATTTTTATGTTTTGTAATTATTATTTTAACAGTGGAACCTGTTAAACAAATTTTGTCTGGCTTTCAAACATGAGAGAAAATGAAAAAGATGTTTAGCCAAGTCCAGATAGATAGCAATTGAAAAGCTCAGGGCACAGCGACTCCACTGTGTCTGTGGATTCTAGCAGAAATGCTCTTTGGCATCGGTACATAAACAGTTTCTGTTAGGAGGTAGGAAAGAAGGATCCTTCGGGCCCTACATGTAACTTGGAAGCTCCTAATTTTACACCAGGACAAGAGCATAATACTGATGCCTGAAATTTGGAAACAGCTTAATTAGGAATGCTATAGGTGAAGGGGTAAACACACACACGTTTATGTGCGTGTTATTCCAATATAGTTCCTGATACTTGCATTGATTTGCTGCTCCTTTTCTAAGTCACAGGAAGGCAAAAATTGAGGAGCAAAAAGGTGTTTGGGGGCGAGCTTACACTCAGAGTGCAACGCAGCGGGTTTGGAATCTCTCATTTTACAAGCACGTAGTTAATTATCATAGAGAACGGAGGAACAAGGAAAAGTGACTTCTAAGTAAGTAACTGGCCTCTTCAGCTTTGCCCCGGCTGGGACTCGGCCTTGCACCGTCCCTGCCCCGGCAGCCCCTTTCTGGAGACTGTCAGGGAAGCCCCTGGTCTTGGCGTCTCACAGATTCGAGACGTGCCCACGTGCAGCCGATCTTCCCTTTGAAATGGAAGAGCCTGCTGACAAGACAGGACGCAGATCCACAGCAGGCGCACAGTGTCTTGCTACCATCCAAAATATTTTCTGAATCTGTTTCAGAATCTATAATAACTTGCCGGAAGTTAAAAAGAAAAAAGAAGAACAAAAGAAAAGAGTGATCTTACAGAGTAACAGACTCCGTGCTGAAGTCTTCAAAAAGGTAACGGCCTGGCCGCCGGCAGGTGTGACGTGTGTGTGGCAGGCAGATGCTGAGTCTGAACTTGATGTCTTTGTCTCCTGCTTCCCTAGCAATTACTGGACCAGCTCCTTCAAAGGAACGCAGTCTAGCCACAGGCTGCCCTGCTGACCACTCCCCGGACCTGGGATGACTTCAAATGCTGGATAAACCATTAAACGTAGCCTTAGCTTCACAACGGGAAACACTTATTTTACGTTTTTTTTTTCCCCCCATAAAGGATAACATAGCTTCCTGAATTGCTGACCCAAACCAAGCAGGAACAACCACCCTTGATGAAATGGGTCAACAGGCTGTTGCAGGGTAATCGACTCAATGCGACCCACTAGATACAGTCTCTTCATTTTTTTATTTCTGAATTTTATCTTTTGCTTCAAATTTTTTTCCCCTACCATTTCCACCCAGGCAGAAAGGCCTCATACACTCACATGGGCTTAGATCCCTGGGGGTTATTTTTTTCCATCAAATTTCTGAGACCCAAATCCATCACTTTTTAAACACCAATCCCACTTCTGCCAGTTCTGCCAACTCCAAACTTCGGGTCATCACACTGTATGTCTGAGCACTCTCTGGATGTGGGCGCCACGTGATACTAGAAGCTGACTTCGAAAATCAATGGGTGCTCTGCCAGAGACTAGGGAGCAGGTGGTCTGTTTCTTTGTAACCTGGGTGGTCAGACAGACTTCACTACTCCACCCCCGCTCCCAGCACCTTTCTTCATTTAAGAATCTATTTCTGTGGAAGCTATAAGAGCAGAACTGGCTGAAAAAAACTGTAGGTAACTTCAGTGTTTTCTGCAACCCCCACCCCCACCCCAAAAAGCTGTGTTGCTAAAAACGGTTCCAACTCTGCCATTTGTTCTTCTAAACATTTACAACGTCCATTATTTATAAATGTGTATTTGGGGAGTTAAGAACAAACTAGCTTTTACCAAAAATGGAAATAAATGCACTTATTACAGAAATTAAAGTAATTCTCTGTTACGTATTCTGTGCTATGAACTGAGCAGCCGCTGTAGATGACGCTCAGTGAGAAATGCCGCCGAGGCCCAGAGGGGGCCTCTGACCTGCTCCTCTGCCACCTTCTCACCACCACGGAGCCCAGGTCAGGAGCCCTGTGCGTCCCAGTGCCCTGGGGGAGAAGGTTGTTTCTCAGAGCTGGCACGAGAGAAGCAGGGAAACTGTTGAGAGCAAGGTTAGGACCCTGACCACCCAAACCTCACTGGGAATCTCCCCAGGAACAAGAAGGACATTTGGGGAATGAAGCCGGAGCCCTGGAGACGCCTCTGTTCCTGTCCTGGGGTAGCCACTCTCCTTCCCTTTACCCTCTGCTGCATACACCGTCCCCTCTTTCTGGAATGCCTTTCCTCTGCATGTCTGCTGGAAAACTGTTTAAAAACTCAGCCTCTGAGCTCTCTTCTGACGCCTTCCCCTCTCTGCCCTGCGCTCCAGTGCAAATCGACACTTCACTGTCTGCACATTGCACGAGGACCTGTGCCATCTCACCCATGTGAGACAATCTAACAACACTGCCAGGAGCAGAGACTCAGGCTTCGCATCTGGGCTGTACTGCTCCTGGTCTGTGCCCTTAGGCAAGAGTATCAGGCTGGATCACATCGGAGAGAGAAACCACACCGTAACCTGGACAGGGAAGTTTAATGCATGTAATTATTAACCACAGCAGAGGATAGGAGTACCGAGGGATTGGGTAGTGAGAGGTAAAGAGAATTCAACAGGATACAGGTAGGAATAGCAGATAAGAGGAGCAGTACTAGTCCCAGAAACAGCATCCCCTCCTACCCCCGGACAAAGATGCAGATATTGTTGAGGAGGGAATGGTTGTGGCTGGCAGGTGACAGAGAAGTTTCTGTGGTGCCATGCTGAGGGAACCTGTTCAAAATGTGCCCTCTAGAACTTGCCAGAAATCTGCTCTCTAGGATGCACAGGGAGCTGTCTCGTTGGAGGCACTCTGCTGTAGTACCACCTAAGGGAGGGTGCTGGGGGAACCAGCTGGCCACTGAGTGTCACCGGCTGCTTGGACCAGAAGGAGTCAGGTGCTGGAAACGCTGCTCATGTTGCAGGAAACTGCTGACCACCCCAGGTCTAGGGAGCAACACCCTTTTTCTCCAGCAGTGTCTCTCTAGCTCTCCCTACTGACAAGCTTAGCACTGTGCCAGCAGGCAGAAGGAAAACATTTAAAGTGCCCAGATCCATTTTAACAGAGCAGGCAAAAGGGGTGAATTTGGAGGTAAGAGATCATAAAACCAAAAACTGGCACAGCAGGTTGTTCATCCTTGCCTCAGTTTCCTCGTCTACATGGAGATCATTGTAGTGCCTCCCTCCACAGGGTTGTTATGGGACTAGAATAGGTCAGTGTGAGTCAGGTGCTTAGAAGAATGCCTGGCCCAAGCAAACACAACACGAGTGTTTCATGTCATACGTGTGCAGATGTGGAGTAGGAGTGTCCTGAGAAACCCTTGAGTACAGGGGCGGAGAGTTGTTCATTCTCACAACCCCTCAGCTTGGCACTGAGAAAACGCCCCCACAAGACTGTTGAGTGTGTGGGTGTCACTACAGCAAAAATCAGTCATACACACAGGATGCTTTGCAAACTTATTTTGTTTTCTCTCAAGCTTTCCTCACTCTTAGAAACAATTTCAACAACATGGTTAAGCTTACCCTTAAGGTTAACTTCAGCTTTCTTAAACTTTTTAGTCCTCTTCTGGGATGCTACACTGAATTTCTATTTACAATTTAAATGTTTTTTTGTTCTTATTTTTTTAAATTTTATTTATTTATTTTTTTGCTGAGGAAGATTTGCACTGAGGTAACATCTGTTGCCAGTCTTCCTCTTATTGTATGTGAGCCGCCACCACAGCACGGCCACTGACAGATGAGTGGTGTAGGTCCACGCCCGGGAACTGAACCCGCACCACCAAAGCAGAGCATGCCGAACTTAACCACTAGGCCACCAGGGCTGGCCCTAATTATATTTTTTAAAAATCATTTTTAATCAAATCTATGTTATTAGTTCAGGACAATCTTCCTGCCATACCTTTTTCTTGTTTTTCTTTAATATCTTCAGAGAGTTTCCAAAGTTTTTCCTAACCAGTAATTTAAGTTCAGGGCCCAACCACTTCTAGACTACTCTGTGACACTTTCCAAGAAGGAGATTTATGTCAGCTAATATCTAAATATCTCAGAATGCCTGGAGGGAGCCAACTTTCAAAAATGCCCATGAAGAGGTTACCCCCTTTGCAAACCTGATGCCAAGTCCTAAAATCTAAAGAATAAATAAAAGTCAACTTGAGATTAAGTATCACTGAATAATGTATTTCTGAGGACGGTTCTTAACTAAGAACTGGGTGGCGGAGTCCTGGGTAAGAATGCGTCAGGTTTGCCTTGAGCTGATCTTTCCTCTGGACACCAGCTAAGGACAAGGCTGCGAATGAAAGTTTTGGTTTCTGCCGAACAGATTTTTTTCCCTATTGTTGTTGTTGTTTGTTTTTTTAATGTTGATGAGTGAATTTCAGATACCCAGCATTTCTTTTCTGTTATAATAAGGTTGTAACAGAAATATAATAACATTATAACAAATATGGAAATAAAGCCTTGAATCATAACAGCCATCCCTTATATTTCTCTCAGGAATTGGTCACCGATTTGTTGGATTCTCTTGGTAAAATCAGACTTCAGGAAAGACTTTAAGATTTTTGAAATTCTAAGTAGAATTTACCACTGTAACTTCAATAATCAAATTCCGTTCTGGAGCTGATTTCTTTACATCTGAGTGTGTTTGGGGTCTGGCATGGAACAGTTCTTCAACGATGCAGCAGGTAGCGGAGTTCAAGATTTATAGCTGGTATTCATGGACTTGGATCAGGCAGTGTTCGGAATAATTTAAGATGGACAGGCAGTAACACCACCATGACTTCATGTCGAAGCAGACATTCCTATTTTGGTTATTTGTCCCCGCTGCCAGCTGGTAATGGAATAATGGAAAAACGATTGCCTTGGTTTTCTTAACCAGTGTCTATTGCCAACCAAACTTCCTGGAAGCTGTGTGCTCCCTAAGTGAGTCAGCAAATGCTTGCTCAGATGACACAAGGCTCTTTGAAAGAACTATTTGTGAAACAACCAGTTGTGGAAGGAGCAGCTGAAAATCCTATTCCTTAAGAAGTTGTCCCACTTCAACACTTGTGCGTGTAGAAATTGCAGGCCACGGACCTGTTCTCTAACTACATCAAATGACCAACGGTCTGCGTAGGAGGCAGGTCAGATGCAGAATGACAGGCGAGGGGAAGTGCGTGGTGTAGCTGCTCAGAGGAGGATATCTGACAGTGGGGACGTGCGAGTGCTGGGCTAAGGAAGTAAGAGTGCAATAGAAAAGTGATTCACTGCCGGTTCGTGTGAGTGCACTGGCGTGCACATTAAAAGAAAGGAAATGATCTGTGAAGTGATTGAAACGAGTCCATCGGCAGATGGTTCTACCTTGCGGAGTTCATCGTATTTGTATTTCCGTCTATACTTGATAATTACCCCACGAATGCCTAGCTAAATGGAAACCTTTCAGAATTGGCTGTCATTGAGCTGAACCAGCCCGCCCCAAGGACTGACACCCTTTGGAATCACCCCAGTCTTCTCTCGTCTGTCACACCCTGACAGGACGTCGCCCCGCTTATCGGGAGAGCAGGCTGTCAGAAAACTCGGTGAGATTCCGCCGGCCCCCCTTTCCCCCGACAGGCGGGCAGCTCGTCTGGAAGTGGCGGACTCCTTCACGCAAATGTTTTCTCCACATGGAACGTAGCAACAACTTTGGCAAGTCTCCCCTAGAACTAAGGGTTTTTTTCAAGTCCTGTCGGCTGCCTCAGCCACAGTTCTGATCCTGAGACCCCCAGAGACTGTCTGAGGTAGTTGTCTGGGGTGTGTGTAGGGGGGAGGCGTTGAAATCCTTCCATTTTTTTTTCTTGCTTTTCTAAGAAGGTTTTCACATTCACATGCTGGATGCTGCTGTTACCTGCCAGGCTGCAGCCGGACGTGACTTCAAGCAGTGGCCTCTCTCTCAGATCTTAGCGCATCAGGAACTTGAAGAGGGGAGGGGGAGGGAGGAACATCACTTGACCCTAGGATCTTCAAAAATACTGGATTATTCTTATCGAAGCTGAAAAGGGAGGAGAAAGAAGTTTATGGTCTAAGTTGCAGCTGAGAAAAAAATGATGAATTTCTTCAAATCTTTTTTGTGAAACCGCGCCAAGAGTGAAAGACATAGGAAAAGTGTACTGTTGATGACTTTCAGAGCATTCTTCCTTTTTCACATATCTTTACTTTCCTGACATGCCTGAAATGGGGCAACAGCTGTAACTGACATCAGGGAACAGATATTGCAACCGTCAGCCATGTTAACTACACACAACGTGTAATGTCCTTTCATCAGAGCCAATGAGGCTGCCTATTTCACTTGCCCACTGATGTCAGTGAGGGGGAAATCATAAATCTTTTCGCTGCTGCTAATTTATAAAGGAATAAACCCACACTATGTGTATATCCTCTGTGTGATGTGACTGATGTTATTACACGGATACCAAGGGAATGACTGATGACGAGCCACTTAACGGTTCCGTGTTGCCAAATATGTGCTTAACATTAAAAGCTATTGAGTGCACGTACAGAACTTTTGTGTTTGTTTTTGTTTACAAATATAGCTGGAGGCTGGTTAGGCCGGAGTTAATTACTACATGCTGACATAATTATAATTCCAAGTCTGGTTCTCTCAGCTGAAACGTTTGTTA